TATGGTCAAACATAAAAATATTTAATGATAAGTTTGAAATTAAAAAAAAACTACATACCCATGTTGATGATTATTTTTTTTCTTTCTGCATTCTTAAAATGCCTCATGAAATTTTAGGCAATATGGCGAATACAAAACATATGCACTGAATTCTCTGGTGTCCAACCACTGCCTTGTCTAGCATAGACATTTTTTATGGACTCATGCCTGTTGGAAATTAAGCAAAGGCCATCTTGAGGGTAAACATGTCTTTTTAGGTAATGTAGAAAGAAAAATCATGCATCTGTTGTTTCACCCTCAATAATGGCAAAGACAATTGGAAAGATTTTGTTGTTACCGTCTTGAGTCACGACCACGAGGAGAGTTCCTTTGTATTTTCCATACAAGAATGTGCCATCAACTTGAACAATGGGCTTATAGTATTTGAACCCATCGATACAAGGTTTAAATGTCTAAAATACTATATGGAATTGAACATAATCATGAACCATCTCACCTCGTTGGTTGTATAGTGGCCTTGTTTGCTTCTCAACAACAATTCTATTAAGAAATATTGTCATGGCATTGAGCAATTTGGGTAAATCATGGTAAGATTGTTCCTAATTTCCATGTAAGTCTTCAATTTTGTTGCTATTGTTCTTCAAGAATGTCTTCTTCATCTTCAACTATGTTGTGGAAACAACACCTCCATAGGTCAAATGAAACTCGTCTTATGGTAAGTTAATATATATTTCATAATGTTTATAAGTAATATTATTCATTACTAACATTTCAATTCTACCATATTTGCAGACAACAAGTGGTCAAGTAATTCAATCTTACTATCATTCTATGCCTGCACCTGACCTAAGAATTGAACATTTATTAGAGGTTGCTGGCTTTGGCGAGGTTGCAAAAATCAGACATTTTAAAATTGATGATTGTTTGATAACGTCTTTGGTGGAGAGGTGAAGACATGAGACACATATTTTTCACCTCCAACTTGGTGAGTGCACGGTCACTTTGGAAGATGTGACACTACAACTGGGTTTGAGAATCGACGGCAAAGTAGTCACTAGACCAACTTTCTTTGATTGGGAAGAATTATGTTATGAGTTGTTAGGCTCCGTACCTCCGAAAAGGAAAGCCCTAATTGGCTCAACCATAAAACTAAAATGGTTAAGAGACCATACAATTGCACTACCATATGAACCCATTGAACAACAATTGCACCAATATTGTAGGGCATATATCTTAGGGTTGATTGGTGGTGTAATTATGCCAAACAAATCAGGTAACAAACTTCACTTGATATATTTATCATTGTTGGCTGACTTGGAACGTGCAGAACGATATAGTTGGGGTTCTATTTATTTGGCACATTTGCACAGAGAAATGTGTAAGGTGATTTATCCAATATTGTCAAAGAAAATGGGTGGATGTTCTTTGCTTATACAATCTTGGGCTTGGTATCGCATGCCTTTCATCCAACCAAGAGTTGAACGGGATATTACATATCTGCTTGCATTAAGGTATGAATTAACTTATATATCACTTTAATACATCGAACAACTACATTCTACCTAAAATTTTATCAATGTACAAGTTTTTTAGATGGTTAAGAAGAAGGCTAAGATTTACAGGAACGCCCCATGGAGACTTATTTGGCTACATATTAAGATATGACAACATAAATCATAACAAGGTAATACGATGTCAACTTCTCTTAAACATACTCTCTTTTATTCAATTAACTTATACCCTAAACCTTTTTCTTTTTTCAGTTTTTGTGGATGCCATATAGGGATTTGAGTCCTCATTGCCAACACGTGCTTACAAGGATTCTATAATATGGACTTCTTGTACTGCTTTAACTTCATTTGCAGTTGTAATCTGGCATCAAAGTGATAGAGTCCAATTGCAATTTGGCTTACGACAACCAATCCCCAATAAAGCCCATAATCTTGATAAAATGCACGAAATAGACATGAGAAGATACAACAACACCAACTGGGCTGAATAACATGCAAATTGGATTTCTATTTGGAAAGACAGACGCAAACATGTTATTTTTGGGCAACCACTTCAAGGGCCTCTCCAACACACTCCTAAGTATTTGCAATGGTTTCATGCCAATTCAAAATTATTTCTTTGTAGCCAATATTCTTCATATGGTGCATCCACTTCTAGTACATAACTCCCAATAACTATAGGATTTCAGCAACATTATCCAACACCATCACAAACCCCAGTGGCTGGAGATAACCACCCACCTTATAGTGTGGAACAATATCCCTAATCTTTTTTAATGAATCCACCATTTCATACACACCATGAACAATTCATGTACATCCCACTATCAACAACAGCTCCTATAAAGGACTTCATGAGCAATCTTTTTGGCGTTGATGTACACACGCCACAAAGTGTATATGATTACATGTAAAACATGAATTTTCCTTCATTTTCTTCTTATCACTCTGAGGTCGGTGGAAGTATTTCATTGAATCCGACCACAAATACTATTCATATAGAATATGATGAGGAGCAAGTTGAACTACAACAACCACGCATTGGTCATCAAAACCCAATAAGAAATCGACAACCTCCAAGGTGTGGAATTGGTGGGCATAGACATCATTAAACTAGCTTGCTGTTATGTAATTTGATAGATTGTGATTGTGTTGTTGTTCTTATTTATTAGATCTCCTATTTTGTTGGGATAAATATTTTAAAACTATTCATCTCAATTAAAGTATAATTTCATTTCCTATGTCTCAAATTAAAGAAAATAAAAAAAATTAAATTTTACATAATTATAATTTTAACAAATAATTTACTAAATTATAATATTACATTTTTTTATATTTTTAAAATGTAATTTCATTATTAAAAATATATTATTCTTTATATTAATCATTTTTAATTTAAATTTAACATTATTTTAAATTAATATTAATCATTTTTATGATATTTATAAAAAAAGATATTTTTCTACCAATTTAAACATATGCTATTTCATAAAATAATATTGTTATAAAAATTCAATAATCAAAGTTATTCAAATATCTATATTTATTACAGAAAAAAAAATAACTGAGTTATTCAAAAATATTATAATATTTATATGTTTGACTAAAATTAAAATTATTAAATTCATACAAAATATTAACTTATCTATATTTATTAAGTAAATTTAAAATATTTAAATTATAAAATATATTAAACAACTTAATGAGAGAAAGAAAATAAAAATATATACATATTTAAAAAAATTTAAACAAAACATATATTTTTTGTATAAAATAGATTAATGTATAAAATTTAAATTTTCAATTTTAAATAAATTAGTTATTATATATATATAACCAAAAAAGATAAAAAAAAATATTAATTAAAAATATTAAAATTTCTATATTTATTAAATATAATTTAAAATATTTTAATTATTAAAATTATTAATATTTGTATATTACATTGTAATTATAAATTTATTAAAATAATTTTTAGATTTAAAAAGTTTAACAAA